GGGGAGCGTTTTGAGCCGACTCGTTCTGGGATGCCCTGTGAGCCAGGACAGTTCAAGGGGTGCCAACAGGGATCACAGGAGCGGGTTGGAGACCTGGGCAGTCATGAGGCCCCGCAGGCCCGTGACAGTGTACAGCATGTCGAAGCCACAGGGTCACAGCAACAGGTTCAGTGCGATGTTTTTGAGCAAAGAGACAAGCAAGAGCCGGGTGCTGAGGAGGTACTGGTAGCACAGATGAAGGACGCAGTGCCACAGATCAGTCAAGAGGTTGTTATCGTTGAGGCTAGCCCTGAGGAGAAGCCCAGTGGTAACAGTGCACAGGAGCAGGAGGCTCGACAACTTTGTGAGGACATCAGTGTGCTTTTGCAGCCTCTAAAGCCGGGGGTGGCGGTGCCAGCAGAGGTCGAGCGGAAACTGGTTGTTTTGATTGAGAGGCTGGAGCAGGCTGCGCAAGAGCATAGCCCATTTTGGGAGCTAGGTTTTTCTGTGTGTGAGGCCCTGATTGACCCGTGGCATGCTCTAGAAACCGCGCAAGGCCTTTGTGCAAACATGCTTGCCAGACCGTCTTTACATGCTGCGTTGCATGATGAGACCAGCTTACAGCAGCCTGTCGACGGCTCCAGTGTGGAGCCCACCTTACCCGATCCGTGTTGTCACAAGGAGCAACCGAAAGGGGGCGGAGTAGCCGATGTTTCTCAGGCGGCTCTGCCAGCCCAAAGTCCTGACAACATGTCATACATGCCCGATGCGAGCGGCAGCACAACAACATCCGAGGCAAATTGCATGTTGTGCGACCCTGAGCCATGGTGCCAGCAGGCGTCAACAGGCAAAAGAGGCCAGGAATTTGAGGGATCAACACGAGTCCAACGGCCGCACTCCACCGTTGGACTCGTTTCAACCCAGGATCTTGTCATCGGTTTCGCCAATGTCACCTCCTGCAATCCAAGTGTCATCACCTGGCTAGAGAGCTGTGGTTGTGCAATGGTAGGCCTTCAAGAGACGCATTTGAGCCCAGCAACGCTGCATGACAGGCGGGGCACTGTGGAGGCTCTGCAATGGAAGCTCATAGGCCAGGAAGCCTTTTTAGGTGCAACGGGTTCGAGGATAGGAGGGGTCGCCTGGGTAGCTAGAAAGCATAGGAATGTATGGACCAAGCACTCCTTCCTCCTGGAAGGTGCCGGTTATGAGGCCATCGGTGTCCAGGCCCAGGGCCTCACTTACACCTTGATCAGTCTCTATCTCAAAGATACTGAAGGCCCGACGGGCCCGCGGAACGCACAAATCCTTGCAAGCCTGGTGGCATATGTGCGTGAATTGCCGGAGCCTTGGATCATAGGAGGTGATTGGAATTGCACACCACATGTTTTCATGCAGAGTAGCGTGTGTCAAGTGATGCGAGGCCGTTTGATCACCGCAGGAGAAATCACATGTACACAAGGTGAAGGCAATGAACTTGATTTTGTCTTGGTTAGCCGTTGCATTGAAGCAGCCGTCACCTTGACAGTCGATTGGCAGGTGCCGTGGAAGCCGCATGCAGCATTGAAGCTGACTGTAGCAGGCGCTGGTGCGGCAAACCCCCGATGGAGACTGCCACAGTTTGCAAAACTGACAGGGGATGTTTCGGAGAGGGTTTGGCCGGAGGTTGGCGCAGTCACACCTTGCATCATGGGACAAATAGGGCAGGATAGAGTCTCGAGTGCATTGGCCAGGTGGGCCAAAGCCATGGAGGTGTGTCGAGGTGATCCGCAGGGTCGAGGCTATCAGGTAGACAAAGTGTGGGGCACCATTCAAGAGACCCGTGTTGTGCAGGCCAGCAAGGCCACAGCTGCAGGATGGTGGAGTCGCATGCGGAGGTGCATCATTACACTGCAAGCCCAGCTTAGCCGCAGCACGTGGGATCAGGTGCAAGGTAATGCCAAGGCAGCTGACGTTTTCCTGCAAAGGGAAGTGGGCAGGCCTGAGGAGGCATCCTTTGTTGAGGAGGTTTCGAGAGCCTTTGAGCAGCGACAGGTGAAGACGTTGGGCAAGCTTCGCGAGGCTGCGGAGGCCAATGAAGCAGAGGCGCAAGTGCAAGCTAGCAAGGCCAGCCAGAAGCAGTACAAAGCGTGGCTCAATGCAGGCGTGGCGAAAGGAATGAGGCCTTTGATCAGAAGCTTGGCCAAGGCTGAAAATGTGTTCATTAGGCCTTTTCAAGACACTGCAGTAGAAGAGCGTGCCAAGCTTCGGAGACAGCAATGGGTCAAAGTGTGGGGGGAAGCGGGATCGGAGTATAAACCAGGCAAGGTTTTGGAGGCAAAGGCCAAGCAAAACCCGCTTCCGCCCATTGAGGGGGCTGAGTTAGAACGAATTGCAAATAGGGTGGCTGATAAAGCTGGTGGACTTGATGGGCTTACTTATGCTAGTTTGCGTAACCTCCCTAGCCAGGCGTACCAGGAACTTGCATGTGTGTTGAATGCCAGTGAGAGATGCCTGACCGCGCCCATCCAGTGGCAGCAGCAGCAGGTTTGCATGTTGGCAAAGAAGCCCACCATCGAGCGTCCAATCTACCTCACCTCCATTACCTACCGACTTTGGTGCTTTGCTAGGCGGGGACCAGTCCAACAATGGATCCAGCAAACCCAAAACAGCACGGCTTGGGACAAAGCTACACCGGGCAATACGTGTTTGCAAATCGCTGTCAATCGCCTCTTGAAGGGGGAGGTTAGCAGATGCAATAAGAGGCACATGATTGCAATTCTGATTGATCT